TACTAAGATGTGGTTTTTGTCCTTGAAATTCCAAAGCAGGCTGCAGGGGTCGTTCTACGCATTGCTACTAGTAACAAACAATTAAACCCAACCAGACAGACACAAACAGGAAACAAAAGCTCACCTCCTTTTTGCTGCCTTCCTAAAAAAAAAAACAAAAACCAAATAACTAGCCGGTTTGTCCCTGTACTGTCTACTGAGAAGCTAACAGAGAGAGGTCACTGTCTCTCTGGTATGGGAGCATGGAGTGAAGTCTTCTTCCCAGTCTAGAAGGCTGTCTTTGACACTATTACATTGTCACACACACACACACACACACACATCAGGAACATGCTGTCTTGTAGTGTATTACCCAGGAACTGCCACCTTCTGGGCTGAGCAGCCTGTGGATGCATTCGTGTCTCTTGAATACCAGTAGAGAGAGGAGAAGTGGGCACAGGGAGGATTTTGTCAGTTGCCATTGCAAGTGTCCCTGCTATGGCTTGACTGGGTTCCAATGGGAAACCTTGCTCTGCAGAGCCTGTGGCCCCGATTCCTCTTGCGACAGGTCATCCATGCCCTGGCTGACTCTGCCCTGGGCTTACAGCGTCCATTCCCCTGTGAGCCAGGATTCTTCCTTCAAGAACCACACAGCTCTTCAGGAAGACATGGGAACGGAAAAGAAGCCTCCAAGTGTTTGTTTTGGTTTTCATTTTCTTTCTGGTTCTTCCAATCACACAGAGACTTATTAACTATTAATGCTTGCTTGATAGCTTAAGTTTGTTCTAATTAGCTCTTACGTCTTATTAATCCATATTTCTCATCTACGGTCTACCTCGTGTTGGTACTTTTTTTTTTTGCAGCACAGCAAGTTCATCTCATTTCTCCCTGTATCCTGGTGACTCTGGGCCTCGTCATCTCTGCCCTTTCTTCTTCCTGTTCACAAGTCCCACCTAACCTCTTCCTGCCTACCTACTGGCCATTAGCTCTTTATTAAACCAACGAGAGTAACCCATCTTCACAGTGAACAAAAAGACTATTCCATAACATTGCCTTGGAGACAAACAGGGACCAAATTCTACATAGAAACCAGGTCAAATTCTAGCTAAGGAGTGGGCTGAGATATTTTCTCTCCTGGTTCACTCTTTTGGGACTCTTTCCCTTTCTTTCTTTCTCCCCCTCATTGGTATCCTGGACACAGAATGATAAGGGCTGAGGTTAAAACTGTAATGTCCTAAACTGAACCCCCAAAATGACATATGACAAAGATGTGCCTGTGGGTACCCCAAGGAGACCGGTGAAGTTCCTAAGGAGTGAGATAATTCCTGGTTTGTCGGGCTTGTCTTTCACACGGTTGTGAGACTCTGTTCTTTGTATCCTGTTCCTTTTCTTGAGAAAACCACAAGAAAACAACTTGGATTTCTGGCTTGAAGGACTTGGGATTGTTTTCCTAACACTCTTAGGTAGCAAGTTTGTGTCCTAGGTCTGTCAGTCATCAACATTCTAAACTCTCAGCACTTACCAAACTTAGGACATTCAGGGTGAGTCAGCCCCTTGTCTCTTCCATCAACTACCCAAGAGCTGATTTCTCAGAACCGTGTCACCAGCAATACCTACCTGCATGTCTGCACACCAAGCCGACCTGCCAAGTTGTATAACAAACCAAGAGCAAGCGAGGCCACACACGCTTTTGCCCCCAAGGCCTCCTGCTATTGAATCAAAGCTTGAGGTTCCTGAGAAAGCTCCTCTGGTCTACGGTGTGGTCCCCTGCTGTCCTGCTCCTCGTCACTACCCAGCAAGGCTCTGAAGGTTAGATACCTAGCAGATAAGAGTATGTTCAAACTCAGCCAGCTATTTTAATCCTGGGCAGGCACCTTCTGCTGACATGCTATTATGCTTTCTACGAGTTAGGGAAAAAGAAATAGCTAAAGCAGCAAAGCCTTTGAAGGTCTAGCTTGTGGCAGAGGGTCAGCCCTTTTCTGTGTGTTTCTAGATGGTAGTGATATATTAGAGGAATAAAATGCTTGAAGAGAGATTGAGGCTCAGTTTTAGGATGGGGATTCTATAATTCTATTCTCTATCCTGTCAGCTGGTTCCCAAATGATGTCACAGAGACTTCTTATTAATTATGAGAGCTCAGCCTTAGCTTAGGCTTGTTGCTTGTCTCCAACTAGTTCTTGTAACTGAGATTCAGCTATTTCTGTTAATCTGCGTGCTGCCACACGGCTCTCGGCTTTTACCTCTCCTCCTGTATGCCCTGCTTCCTCTTCAACTGGCTGGCCACTCCCCCTTTCTTCTTCCCAGAGCTCTCTCTGTCCGGAAGTCCTGCCCATACCTCCTGCCTAGCTGTTGGCTGTTTAGCTTTTTATTGAACCAATCACAGTGACACAAATATCTCACAACAGGAGTCTGGGACTGTGGGGTGGGATGCGTTCCATGGAAACAAATTACTTGGCAAGGGGTTGGCCAGCACTTAGCATTCCCTCAGTGCTACGAGGCTGCCCCAGAGACCCTCAATGACTCCTAGAGGGTCTACAATTTCATCAGATTCATCCTGGACAAATGGATTAATATGGACACATGACCTCAAGCAGCAGGAACTCTTTTGACAGAGCAAGACTTCGGCTGTCAGTTCTCAGTCCCTGTAGAGCTAAGAACGTGAAGGCTATAGGACTTCCTGTCCCGTTGGCTTTGCAGACTCCATCTTCTCCCGTGGAAAACCAGCTTTGATGAGATAGACATCAGACAGTAGAGTCACCAGTAGTCTTGAGTTTCTCTTTTGCATCCAATAGAGGAGATGGGCAGCCTCTTTGCTATCAAGGCAAACTAAAACAGAACACCAACAAAAAAATCTTCACAGGTTACACACAGGGGTTGACCCAGTTAAGTCTGCACCCCTAGTCCACCACCAGTTGGGGACACAACGGGGCTCACAGGAACAATACTGGCGGGTCTTTGCTGAAAGACAAAAAACAAAACAAAAAACAAGCAAACAAACCACGAAGCTAGTTCTCTAAAGTCCTAATGATGTCACAGACTTGTAGTCTCTTGACTCTGCCTCATGCGAATTCTGAACATGAATTTCAGGTTCATGAATCTGGTCTTTCAAGTTGATGCTGGTCATCTTTCTGGAAAGAACCTGCTCGGCGAGGGCCTGGATGAGCTGGGCAGACTTCAGCTGCTCAGTGGAAATGGTCTCAGGGTCAAAGACGGAACAAGGAAGCAATGTAAGGAAGTAAGTGGCAGCCATTTTAGATGGAGCCATGCAGAGCAATCTGCACATCGATGATCCCATTGTTAAGTCTGGCTCTCTCCCATTAAATCCAAACAAGCTTCTTGGGGCTGGAGAGATGACTCTGCAGTCAGCAGTGTGCATGGTTCTTATTGAGGCCCCAAAGGTTCCCAGAACCTTCCAGGCAGTTCACTATTGTCTGCATTCTCACTGCAGGAGTCTGGTGTCGTGCCTCCCGAAGGCACCCGCACTTATGTGGATAAACTCCACCCACTACACAATTACGAAGAAAATTAATAATACAAAAACACCGAGCTTTTCAAACCAACACCAACTCTTTATTGATTCGGGAATAATCCAGAGTGCAGAACCTTTATTCTCGTTGGATCATTAATTCATTAATTAACCCTCACTCACAAGTGTTTTTAATGTCACTGTTTTAGACACTGTAGAGACAGTGGTAGTAGATCCAACTCCTCCAGATTTCTTACCCAGTCTTCTCTTTGCTTAGAATATTTTCACCCCAGTCTAGCTTGGCACTGCCTCTGTCTTCATTCTATTTAACCCGTTTGCAGACACCAGCTAACCCCACTACCTGACCGGGTTAAACACATCACTGTAGGTTCTCTCGGGATTCTAGAGATGTCACACTACGAATGTTATAATTACATTTGTAATTCACCCTGGGTTGTCTTTTGCAGAAAGCAAGCTTCCCTGGGGGCAGCCACGTTTGTTTTTTTCACTCTTCTGCCTGGAACAATGCTTCCAAATGAAGCAAGGACCAAATTTAAGTTCATTTGGTAGATATTTATTAAACATATAGATGGCAAACCTTTTTCTTAACATTGGGGAAACAGCAGACAAAACCAAAACTAAAAACCAAAATCACGTCGTGTCTCTGGGATGTCAAATCTTGACTGCTGGTCAAACTTTTGATTTAATGACAGAAGAGGAGCTGTCTCACCTTCTTACTTCCAAGTAGTAGAAATGAATGCCAGTGGTCATAAATGGCTTGGGTTGAGCCACATGGAGAATTTGAGTGGAACAGAGTTTTGTTTGTTACGTGATTTTCAGACTGACAGGGGGCAACTGTTCAGCCATTTTCAAACCTTCATCCCCCATACTATTGCTCAATAAACATCTCACAAACTAGAAATGAGTGTATAATCATTAGTTTATGTTGTTCACAAGCACTATTGGATCTGGAGGGTCCCCCAAGACCACGTATTGGTGGTAAAAGTGAGGACCACATGCTTTTTAAATGTCACTTGACTGATTTCTTACCTACTCCTGTCACAGCCCAAGCGAGAGTGAGCATCAACGACTTTTGCTGTTGGTGGCGGAACTTAGACATCAGAGTGCTTGCTGTGGGAATTGAAGACTTTACCTTTAATTGCAACTGTGCTGTTGTTGACCAAGGAATCGAGAAGGATCAGTTTTAAGAACAGTGAAGGGCTTTTCGGAAGAGGATGTAGAAGAAACGCTGGGGACCTTACAAAAGTTTTCAGGCAGCAAGAGAAATACCTCACCAGTAGGGATGTACTTTGCACATGAAAACTAGTGTTGGCTACGAGGCTGGGGAATGGGGGATGCTGGGATAAAAGAGAATCATTGGAAAGAGAGGAAATGGTCGTGCCCAAGAATGGAGACAGTTAGTACCATTCATGTCACCAGGAAGTAGGAGAAGCAGTGGCGTTGCCTGGAGACGATGGCTCGGTTCACGGGATGATGGAGGTAGGATCCTGGATGCAAGCGGAGACGGCCCAGAAAGTGCCATGAACAACACGTGTAAAGAAAATGTTTTATTTAAAGTGTTAAATACCATCACCAGAATGAATTTGATTTACATCAGTCGGTGTTTGTTACAGGCCTAATCTGCCCTCCCCTCCCCTCCCCATCCCCGTTTTTTTCCCCCTAACTGGAATTCTCTTTACTTGAAAACGTTCTATGTACAGGGCAGCAACGGTCACTGGCATAGTGCTATTTACATGACATAACCACAAGTTGAGGTGCAGACGTGTGAAAATTAGAGAAAAAAAAGTACACAACTTTTAAAATAAATACTGCATAATGAGAGGTATGTACAAATATTCCACAGTCGTGTCCTTCTTATTAAAATTAGAAATAATTTGTATAGGAATATATGCAGAAAAGATGATGCCACTGCATGTTGGTGTCAGGGGACATGGCAAATGTCTGTTTTAAGGGAGAACCAAAGACGCTGCGGGTCTGTTAAACCAAATCGCTGCTGGTACACAGGTGTCTACGTTACCTCACGGCAATTTTACCTCACGGCAATACGGCAATTGTATCCCTTTTCTCTCACTTCACCTGGGTCTGTCCTCTCAGAAAATCAAGACACGGTCTTAGTGTAGTTCATGTTGCACCACAGAAAGAGAAGGCATTTTGAGTGATAGCTCGGTTTTTTTTAACTTTTGCACCGTAAATCAAGCGTGACGGTTTTCAATGGTCGGCACTGGACTCAAAAGGAGAAACAAAGAGAATACTTTCGTGCGCATGTCCTCCTTTGAAACAAATGGCATGTAGATGGATTTCAGAGATTACTGCGAGGAGTTAAAACCGATCTCTGAGGGCGTGCAGTTAAAGCGCAGTAAGAGACAAAAAGGATGGGTGGTTTATTACATCGACCAGTGACAATCCCCTCTCGTTAGGGATCTGGAGAGAAACTAGGGCCTTGTGGTACCACTCAATGGTTGAAACTGCCCATAAACCAAAGGTGTGGCTTTGACTTGAGGGATTTGCATGTTGGCTTTTGGTGATGGCATCAAATAACTATTTAGAGGCAGACTGACTCTCTTCGAGTCACCTAAAAATTGGAGCTTTAAAACTGTTGCAAATGTATGCTTACTATATTTCTTTAGAAATATACTTTGTGAAAAATTGAATTTTACTACAGAAAAATGAATTAATAAACAGCCCTGCGTGTCAGGGCCCCATGTATTTAGCAGTGTTTCTATTCACATAGTAAATGGAAATCAGCTAAAGAAATTCCTTTGACAAATTAAAAAACAAACAAAACCGAAGACCTACAAACAATACTTAACCCCCTGTATGAATAATGCTGGTGCTAAAAACAAATTTGTTAGAAATCACAATGCTGCATGATTTTAGGACTTCCTGTAAACTCAACTTTTAAGGTGAAAAAAGAAAATTACCATGCACTGTACAATGACCTGCAGTTGTCCAAACATCTTGGTCACATGTGTGCTGACTTGCTTTGTGTCCCAAGTCATGTTGCCAAATCCTTCCAACATGCTTGAAATAAAGAAAGCTCTGGAACAGAACTGAGAAACCCATAAATTCAGACGCGCCTGGGCTCTGAATCAAATATGGGGCGTCAGAGGGTCAGGTCAAAGACTTGTAGTGTTTTAGGAGAAGGTTCACTCGGGAAGAAAGGAAAGAGAACATTCAAAATGGGAAGACAGGTGAGATGGAGGAGGGAAGATGAGAAAAATTTGCATGTGTCGAACTTCGTAAGATCGTATATTTAACATGGAAATAAATTGAATACATTATACTTATTGTCACATAAAGAGGATTTTAAGTCCCTGCTAGAAATATTTTCATTTGTAATGTCTGCCAAAACACAGACTGCGATTAAAGAATAAACATGGTGTGTCTCCCTACCACCCTGTTGCATCCTCTCTCGTTTTAAAACCATGCACTAGTGAAATTTATCTTTAAAAATAATATAAATTGTTGAAAATGGCTGATTTTTATTTTATTTTATTATTTTTTTGCAAGTTGCAGCCCCGAGAAAATAATTTAAATATTCAGCTAATCTGTGTCCATGCAGAAAAGGTTTCTTTAATCTCATTCAGTACGGTGCAGTCACAGAATTTGGATTTTTCAGAGTCCGATGCATCATGGCCATTAGTGGATGACACGCCTCCTGGAGCTCCCCGGGAGTCGCCTACCACACCTCCCTGCTGGGCCCCCTCTGGAGGGGGCAGCAGTGACCGGCTGGGCCCCTGACTACTTCTTTGGTCTCTGGCTTTTCTCCTGATACCTCCTAGGACTTCGCTCCCTGGCCTGCAGTGTGGCCTCAGGGCCGTAGAGCTTCTGTGGGGTAACAGGCTTTGGGGTCAGATAAATGGAGAAGAAAAAAAACCCACCAAACCGATAAAAATATAAAGGTGCCATTGAAAAGGGCTGACTGATTCTTTGAGAGTAATCCATGGCTTCAGATTGGACCGGAACTCGAGTGTCACTGAACTCCAAGCCTGACAGACGGCTCTGCACAGCAGCTCTGCCTGTGCTAGGGCACAATGCGTACGGCTTCCTCTGAGAACACAGGATCGCTTTGTATCCCTAGACGTGGGCTCCGGAGACAGGACATCAAACATGCAGTGTTACCGGGGGTTTTGACCTGTGCGTTTTTTCTTCTGTTTTTGTATCGCTGGTTGCTGTGACAACAGTTTTACAGTTGCTATGAACGAGAGTAAGAAGGTCCCGTAGAACTTTCCAGAGATGACTGGGAAGCTCTTCTTGTCAGAGGTGCCAAGGTTGGGTCTACTAGGGAGGAGGGGGGGAAGAGTTTGAACCACCCAATCACCATATTGGATAGCTCCAGTTCGTCTAAGAGTATCTGGGCCACTCCCATAAAGGATTTGTGATCCATGCGGCCATAGTCTCCCCAGACAATGATCTGTCGGCAAGATAAAAAAAAAGCAGCGTTAGTAGAAGCACACACATCACAACTGACAAGCAAAGCCACAAAGCAGGCTAGTAACATGTGTTTGGGGACTGGGCTGCTGCTGGCGGAGTCTGGTTAACGGCAACGTTGCCTGTGGCTCCCAGGAGCCGCGGTCACATTAGGGAAACTGTACCACACACGGTCTGAAAGCCACCCCAGGAAACAAGCTGGTGTGTGACCCAGACTTGTGTGTCTGCGGTGAAGTCCTCTGTGAGTGGGGCAACCACAGGGAGCTTTACAGCCCTGGCTGTGGCTTCCTGGTAGACAGGGAATGTCAGTCGTGAGGACAGGGGGGAGGCTAGATGCTGGAATAGATGATAGATGTCCTTTCCAGCACCGGGGCTGGCGATGGGTACACACCTGTAACACCTTCCCCTGGGGGCTCTCCTCGAAGGACAAGAGCTGCTGATACAGGGGTTCCAGCGTCTTCCTGGCCACCTTGGTTTTCTTTTTGGCTATGCAGACTCCGTTGTCTAATAGATACACCTTGACGTACGGTGCTGGGGACAGAAAACAGAGCGAGTGACCGTCATTGCCATGAGAGGCCCAGCTCGTTGGGGGCAGGAACGATGGCCCCGTCTTCACCAAAGGGTGGGTAGCACTCTGGCACTGGTCTGCCTTGTGTCAAACCCATGCCTGTCAGCTGTTCAGCTTTAAGTGTGTAGATACAGCCTCTGAGGGTCTTCTCTAACTCCCATGTCTTTGTTGTAAGGATTTAAATGCTGAATTAAATACGGCAAAAGTGTTTCCGGTCCTGAACAAGACTCGGGAGCAAGGCCTTAGTCTTCAAAGTACCGAGGTTTTGGTCTCATTAAACGTGCTCGCCCCAGAGCTCACTTGACCACCCCAAGGCGCGCATTATATTAGCTGGGAATGGTATGAGGACAGGCGGGGGTGGGTTCCAAAGTCACTGGGAGAGGCAGCTCGGTAGGGACAGACCCTTTAGTGAAGAGCGTGTCCCCGCAGCCCGGGCTACTCAGTCACCCAAGACCTTTATTCACGACACAAGGGCAAAGCGACTCTGTCAGTGCTGCACACTTCATGGAAGAATTCCTCCGAGGAGGGCTGAGGACTGGGGAGGGAAATGCAGATTCCTAAGCCGGTGCAGGTGCCGGGGACTGGGACTGGGTCCTTCCCGGGCTCAGTGTCACATTCCGCACCCGCCGCCCTCTGCACACTTAGACTGGGACATCTCCCTGCTGCCAAGCGCCCTGACTTAGTGATGCTTCCATGCGAAACGTGCGCCTACTTCAGAGTTTCATTAGTGAAGAGTGGGGCGAGGAGGCGGCTGCACCCCCCTACCCCACGAGAGCAGAAGTGGGGCGGGTGGATCTGCTTTTATAGGTCACTTAGCGCATGCTTAAGGGCGCTTAAGTGGCCACACCCCGTATACTTATGGAATGCATGGTCACGCTGCGCATGTGCACAGGGCCCTGGGCTGACAAGGCATTTTGCCTCGCTATGGATGGCGCATGTGCAGTCAACCCCGGGAGATGCTAACACCTGGGATGGCAGACTGTGCACTTTGCCTGAATGCAGAAGGCCACGCGAGTGGCCGCGGGAGCCCGGAAATGACAGCCCTAGAGTCTCTCCCACACCGCAGGACTGAATGTTTGTCCTAGAGTAACCAGCATTCTTAGGCTTATGGGACTGCGTGGATCTCATCTATTTCTATTCTAATTCCCTAGGCTTAAAGGATGCCTAGGGACAAATTTGAGGTTCCCGGTAAACTGAAGAATAACATAGAGTAGCAGCTTACGATCCCTGCCAGGTCCCTCAGAATACGTGCAGCCTGCTTCAGGCCCCAAGCAGTACGATAACGGAGTTAGCTACTCACACCTTGATCGAGAAGATTTCAGGGGGAAAAGGGTAACTTTTGCATCGAAACAAAACAGACCGTGAGAAGTGACAGTAAAGCCTCTTTGCTCTACCTGGCAGTGTCTTGGAACCTGGTTTCACGACGAGGCCGCGAGCCCGAATGATCTCCACCTCCAGCTGCCCCTTTTTGTCCATCATCCCCACCTGGATGTCACCTGGCAGCGCACAGGGAAGAAAAACAGGAAGTAGGAGGAGGGCCCGTGCCAAAGACCCTGGCTTCACACATTTCCCAGATGTTTTCTTAAGTCCCCAGATGTACTCATTCTTTAAGCTTTACGGGTTCTCAGAAGTGTGTTGCTTTGAAAATGAACAGATTTACAAACAAACAAACAAAAACTAAGAACATTACTGTTAAAGTCTGGAATGGAGGGAATGTGATGTTCCAGTAATCTAAGGGACAAACAACGGAACCACGTGACAGAAACGCTTACCCATCGCAGGAGTGGCCAGGGTCTGGCGTCCCACTAGCTGAGCAGGGCCCAGGCCATCAAGGAAATCGCTGAACTGGCTATCGGAGGCCAGGCGGACACCAGGGAAAATCAGACTGAAGGAGAAATGACATGTGGGATTACATCCTCCACCGTCCCTCCTATCAGGCAAGCCTGAGTCCTCCGCTGACCTCATGATGGTGGTGAGACTAACATGCCACTAACGCTCACTGCATCCAAACACCCCACAGTCCTGGTCCATCTTGCTGTTCTATGTCCCTGTGCCCGTCACCAGGGGCACCTGCCACACCATGTAGGCTTCTGTCTATGTCTTCTCTTGCTTGCTCTGGGTGGCAGGGGAGGTGATTTCTGTCTTGCATGCTCAGAATACACTGAGATGGCACGCTTGCCATGTTTGGTCCTCTTAGCCGTACTAAGAGAGAGTCTATTAGTTATCTTTTCACAGTTGGAAGAAACTGGATAGTTCCCACGGGCATATAAAGACACTGCCTGCTATTGCATCCTACAAAGGGAGGAACAGCCCTTTCCTGACGCACTCTCCTCCCCAGGAGCCACCCCACTTGTTCCCCTGAATCCTTGGGAAGCCCTTCACACCCCCTCTTCCATCTTATTTGGAAACTCTAAGCAGCTTTGTGTTTCAACATCCTTCAAATTTCTCTAACCAGAAGTCAGCCAAGGATAGCAGCCAGTGTCAGTGACCACAGCAGCAGTCACTGTCAGCCAGTGACCACAGCAGTAACTCCTGCTGTTACTGCTCTGTCCTCGCTGAAGTGACACATCAGCAACACAATCAGTCCTCCTTTCTTCCCTGAGAAATCTTTTCCGGGAGATTGAGCTCCCCGCCTTTCTCTTTCCTCTCCTCCCAGTTCTGCTGTTAAACACCAGACTCCATGTGTCTGGGTTCCCTTGGGAGTTCACCCAACTTCATGGTGTCTGTGCCAGTGTAGCCTAGCCAAGAGCCTCTCTGGCTTAGCCTTCTTCTCTGGGCCACACATGGTCATTCCAGGAGCACAGTTGGCTAACACGATTAACTATGAGCATCCTACACTGACAGACAGAAATCTCCTAACCATGCCCCCACCCTAAATAAAATGTAATAAAGATTAAAAAAGCTAAGGAAGTAAGAGGGTTCATTTCTTCAGAGATGGCCCATGCGTGTAAAAGATGAAGGGTCCTGAAATCAAGTCTTACGGGGTGTCTAGTTGACCCCCCTCACTCATTTCCCTGACCTTATTTCATACCCCACACTTAGGTTACCCAATTTATTACATACTTTAGTATTTTTCTTATAACTTTAAATTTTTTGAAGAGGTCTATCTTGTTTTTTGGATGGGTGAAGGTCACTTTAGCCTTTTGTTGGCTCTAGAGCTAGTGGCTCTTACCGTCTAGAAACCTGTACTCAACGGATACCTGTTACTCTTGGTGAACCACCTTCATGTTAGAAGCATGACGCAATTTACCCCAAGATCTAAAGTGCCAGTACCAAGGTGAGAATTTTGATCTCCTCTTGCTATCTTGGCTCCTACGATTCCTAAACCCACTGTCTTAACTTCTGATGAGATTCTCTTATATGGCTCACAGCCACAATGTCTGGGACACTAGAAGGTAATGTTTGTTGAATGACTTTATGAGTATCCATGTTATTTCTCCAATTAGATGGTATACATCTGAGGTGGAAGTCATGCTTGCAACATTTTTATATCTCCGGCAGCTTTATAATAAGACTGTAAACTTGTGGGGGTGGGGGCCCATGCTGCAGACATTTTTGTAGCCCATCAATGGTTCACACAGGCCAGTGCTCAACACATTTATCTTTCACTTTTCTTCCAGAAAGAAGAAATTTCTTTAGTTCACTGTATGGAGTGTGTCCCATGCGTGTGACTGGGCCACGGCCATGGTCGTCTTTCTCCTCAGCTCTCCCTTTCCTTCAGACTTCCTTGATGATCAGAAAATCTATTTCTTTCCCTTCACGTCATATCTCAGAACTTCAGCCTGCTAATACAGCCCTATTTAAAAACGGTAGGATGACGTACCTCCCCTTTATTGAAATGATTATGTTGGTCAAAATATCGTGAGGGTGTGCCATTAACTGTAAGCCAAGATTTGCTACAGTTTTGAATCTGTGAATTGGCTACAGCTGTCTAAGCATGGAACACTTCCACGGTGATACAGAGGCCCTGAGCCTCAGCTTCCGCTCCCAATGCCCTCAGGGTCCCATCAACAGGTCAGAAGTCACCCAGTACTGCTGTGTTGGGGACAGGGCCACTCCATGCTTACAAACCTTTCCCAGTGTCTTATGGGAGTGGATTCAAAGGAAGGCTACCCAGAGAAAAAAGGGCTCACCAACTTATTGTTGCCATTGTCTTTCATTACGGTTTCATGCAATGAAGGTAAACTATGTAACTTTCAGGGCATAAATTCTTCAATAGCATGTTCTCAACAAATCAAAGCTCTTTCACACTGAAATTATTTTTAAGTTATCTTACGGGTCTGGGTTGTTTTGCCTGCATGCGTGTCTGCGCACCACGTGCCTGCAGTGCCTGAGGCGGCCACAGAAGGGTGTCTGATCGCAAACTGTGGTTACAGCTGTGAGCCAGTGTGGGGGGTCCTGGGAGTCAAGTCCTTTGGGAGAGCGTAAGTCAGCATTCTTAACCTCCGAGCCACCTCTCCAGCCCCGAGACTGAAGACTCTAAAAACTAATCTTGCCTACAGGGTGTGACGCGTGTGTTCAGATTCCTGTGATCTTATTATTTTAAGCTAGGACACCCTATTTTATGTGTAGCACATGTTGAGAGTCACGCCGTAGCATCTTGCCGTGGAGGTAAAGCGCTTCATCTTCCCCAAGCTAATCCACTAGAAACAAAGAGCCAGATACTTCAACTAGTGAGGACTCGGGACTCGGCCAGCCAAGAGGGAAAGGGTGCGAGCCTTGCGGGTTAGCGCTGGTGCGAGCCTTGCGGGTTAGCGCTGGTGCGAGCCTTGTGGGTTAGTGCTCTTGCGAGCAGGGCGTGGACCCGGCCTCACCACTCACTTTCCTTCGGAGCTGTAGCTGTTCATGCTGCCGTCTGTGGACTCCCGGCTGGCCTGCCTCGTCATCCAGTTCCTCATCTCCACCGCTAAGCCGGTCTCGGTGCTTCTCTGGACAGTGCTCCGCAGTTTTTTACCCCCGGCTTCTGCAGAGACAGAAATCCAAAGGCGTCACGGTTCTGTGGGTTCTGTCGCTGCTGTCTGGTTACAGGACAGGCCGGCGAGCGAGCGCCCCCCGTAGACGGCTGCAGATGCCAGGAACTGCTGAGAGAGAGTGTTCTCAAGGGGAGAAGGGACTTGCGACACCCCACTGTTTATTCCCACTTAAAACAGTGTTCCGATAATTAACATAAGAAACGAAAAGGCTTAAACTGAGGAGACTAGGCTTTTCATTGTAATACTTAAATTTCCATATCAATTTGTGCCTCTTCAGTTGGTTTTCATTGCAATTCTGAAATGCAGAATTAATTCATGCATACCTTCCCCCAATTCCTTTTGTTTCATGAAAGAGATAGGCCTCCATATTACTTGCAAAAAGCCAGTTGGTGAGGGATACTCGATTTTTAGCTTTAACTTTTATAAAAAATGTTTATGGTGACAGATATAAAAGGCAAAGAACGTTATACCAAAGGGATAGCCCTATTTGATGGCAGTTTTGAATCTGGTGAAACTTCCAGAAAGACTGTACAATATAAAGTGACTGTACAATATGAAGTGTCATGGGAAGGACTTGGATAGTCACCTCTAAGGTGGTTGTATCTATCGGGGTTTTCTCCCAGAAGGCCACTGGAGGATCAGAGATGAGGAACGGAGAGAAGTTGTTTGTGCAAGCAAGACCGAGCTAAGACATAAGCCTCAAGAGACCACGGCTCCACAGAGGGAGTGGGATTTGAGCAGGGCTTGAAAAACTCGCTAACTGGGACTCCAGGAAAAGAAGAGCGTGCCTTGGGCAAGAGAAACACATGGACGGACGAGCAAACCCGGAGTTACCACGAGGAGAGAGGAAGGGCCATGACTGAAGTGTGTGAGGGAGAAGCGGGAAGCGGGGGACACAGGATAAAGCCAGAACTGAGGAGCCCGCACGCTGGAATATGGAGCTGGAGGCTACCAAAGCTTCTTGGCAGGCCTATCTTATTCACGCTGGCTGCGTAAGCCATTAGCGGTTGGAGAGAAGCAGCCACGGGGCATGCTCTTCCTGGGGCTGGTAATAGTGAGTCCTCTCAGATGCTCTTGGCGATGCTGATGCAATTAGACTCTTTGCGCCAAACCCCTTTTATCTGCTGCACCTAGAAACGCTGCTCCCAGTTCCGCCCGTTTCTCGTGTCCAGTTTCGATACACACTAAAATGCCTTGGAGCAGACACAAAAAGCACACATGACTGATTTCCACCCAATCAGAAGATGCCATTTCAGGTGAGCAGCAAACATGTTCCCTGATAAACGTTAAGAAGACAAAAGGCTCCCCAGTGATGCGGGCAAGCAATTCATCACAGAGGAATGCTGGTGATACTGATGTGATCAGATTTCTTTCACCAAGCTTCTTATGTTTGCTCTGCTTTGAACACTTTGAGTAGCGACAAGGTTAAAAATACTAATTTTTAGCCTCTTGTGGAGTAAGGGATTTAAGCAGGACTCGTTACTGGAGGCTACCATTAAAAGTTAGATGGTGAAAAATGATTTATGAGCCAAGTGAACAGTCCACAGACTAGCTCTGTTAGGGGAGTAAAAAGATAATTTATCATGGGAGACGGGGCCACCACCACCTTAATCAAGTCACAGAATTCAGCAGCAACGAAAAGGGGGACAACTGTATATACCCCTCCTGATATGAAGCAGACAGAGTCACCTATCGAGTTACTCTGGACAAAAGCGTTCTAAATGTTTCCAATCAAGTCTTGTTTTCGGAAGATACGGAAGGCAAAGTCACAAGGCAAAAAGCAGGCGCAAGCAAAGCGACAAGAAAAACCCAGATATGGGTCATCGTTCAAGAGAGTTGGCCTCGTCTCCTAAAAAACGTTAGCACAGAGGCTAGGTAATCTAGATAAAAGATAGCAAGGAGACATCAGCCAGTGACCTTGGATGTATGCATTTTTGCCTTGTTTGTAAAATTAAAATGAAATAGGAAATCTTTTAAACAAAATCATACATAGACAATTTCAAGACAGGTAGGGCAAATTTGAATACAGATTGCATATTAGATGAGGAAAGCTGCTTGACTTTTAGGTGGATTAAAATAAGTATTATAATGAATTTCCTGATTATTAGATATAGATGTCAAATATTTGGTTGCAAAATCTATTATCAACATTTTAATTTCAAATGGTATAGAAAAAATCCAAATATACACATGCATAAGAAGAGTGTTTAAAAAAAGACAAGGAGGCAGAGTTGACTGTACTATCCATCAATCTAAGATTAGTGATGGCCTTTTCGCCTGTCTCTGTGTGTGGCGCAAGCATGTATGTGCATGTTTGCATAATTAAGGGCACCTGTGTGTAGGCAGACATGCGCACACACACACACACACACACACACACACACACACACACACACACGTGTGGCCTGAGGCTGGTCTCAGGTCTTCCTCAGCGGCTTTCCATTTCACTCGATGAGACAGGGTCACTCAGCGGAACTCCGCGTGATTGCGGGCTAATCTCCAGGCTGCTGGGAATACAGGCAGCCCCCACGCCTGCCTGACATTCATTTCCATGGGTGCTTGGGATCCATATTCCAGTGCTCACATTGTGCTGCCGTCCCCTCACCCTGCCACTCATCTCCCCAGTCGCTAGGATTTGTTACTTTATTTCAGAGTGATCTTCAAATAGCTACATCACAAAGTAGTACGGATTTTTTTCTCCTGGAAACCATGGAAACGCTAGGCTGATACCATGAATCCTATGTGAGGGCTGCTTTGATGGTCCTTCCTTCCAGCACTATGCCCTGTGAACAGCTGCCATCACCTGAGACACACACCAGTGACCTCTGAGAGATGTCTAGACACTCTTCAGTGACCTCTTAGATGTCTAGACACACTTCAGTGACCTCTGAGATGTCTAGACACAATCAGTGACCTCTGAGATGTCTAGACACACTTCAGTGACCTCTGAGATGTCTAGACACTCTTCAGTGACCTCTGAGATGTCTAGACACTCTTCAGTGACCTCTGAGATGTCTAGACACTCTTCAGTGACCTCTAAGATGTCTAGACACACTTCAGTGACCTCTAAGATGTCTAGACACACTTCAGTGACATTTAAGATGTCTAGACACACTTCAGTGACCTCTTAGATGTCTAGACACACTTCAGTGACCTCTAAGATGTCTAGACACACTTCAGTGACCTCTTAGATGTCTAGACACAATCAGTGACCTCTGAGATGTCTAGACACTCTTCAGTGACCTCTGAGATGTCTAGACACTCTTCAGTGACCTCTAAGATGTCTAGACACACTTCAGTGACATCTAAGATGTCTAGACACACTTCAGTGACCTCTGAGATGTCTAGACACTTCAGTGGCATCTGAGATGATGACCTAGATATACACAAGGAAACAGCATGGAGAGGATCCTAGGTTATCCAAGGATAAAGGGACCTAGGTTGCTGAAGATCTCAGGACAAAGCTCAGCAATTCCAAGGCCAATTGTTTTCTATTCAATCTTACACCACGGAGCAAGAGTGACTTGAAAATACGCTGTTAATGGGTGATGAGAACCGGACCCCACTTGGCGAAGAATAACAACATTTTAAGAAGGGCAGGCAACCCTTCCGTCCACAGCCGTTCTACTCACAAATCCTCTTCACACGTTTGAAAGGTCCCACTTTCACAGAGGAAGCATCTGAGGGAGGGCCCGGCAGATCACAAGGGTCCCGAAGCCACACAGAGAGTGACAGAACCGGAATGTGTACTCAGTTGCCAGGGTCTGCGCTCTCTGTTATCCAGTAGCTTGTTGTTAGAACAGACCCAAGTGCAGCTGACTGTGAGACTATGCAAATGAGGATCCTGGGGGCCTGGGGAGGAACATGCCCTGGTGTCACCCTGCTTCTCTCCTCTTAACTAACTGTGTGGCACTGAGCAAGTTGCCCACTATGCTCTCAAATTGTGAGATAAGAAGACGTAACGGGCAGGGCTTGGGAGAGGGCTTAAGAAAACACACGTCTAAAGTGCTTGGAAGGATACTCTGAAACGAAGGTCTTCAACCAAGGTGTTGTCAGGATACCCAGAGAGGGAAGTTGGCAACACGCTCTGACTGGTCTCGACCACTAACTAGCTAGTTGGGCGGTCTTCTCTAAGTCTTAGTTTCTCTTGGAGTCTGGGGCAGGGAAAGGAGAGCAGATGGCCCCTGGCATATTTTATCCCTGAAGTCTGTGAGTTTGTCTCATTAGTGTGCACAAGTCCATGATTAACAGTCCTATGCTGAGAAGGTCTGATACTGTCAAAGAGTCACAAGTTCCTAGCTAAATAACTACTTAACAGTAGTCCTTAAAACTTGTCATTTTATACATTCCATTATCTGAAACATTCATAGACTTATTTATACATTTTCAGCACCATGGAAATCTTTATGTCATATTCACAATGGATGTGACTTAACTTCAGTATAATGCACGGGGGTGATTCATGTCTCTTGCTCCAAATGATGTCACGTTGCTATGCAACCTAAAGACTGAATCCTTGTAACAGTGAAGGCCTGTGAGAAAGATGCGAGCGAGGCCGGCAGAATGCTATGCTGAGTAAGGTAGCTAATTAGTTGTTTAAAGGTGGGAAGATTCTCTGAGTGGACCATTCCAGACCTTTAGAAGCAGAATGCTTTCTCTGGCTGGCTGACATGCCGCAAGACGACTCGCCTGGGATTCTGCCACCACCAACATGAGCGAGCGCCCCGGGAAGCCGAGCAGCTGGCGAGAGCTCAGCCAGTGTTTTGACACATTATCATCCTGTGCTAGGCTTGGGATGCAGCAAGTAGGTGTTGGTTTCAGACGCTAAGTGCTACAGCAGCAGCAGCAGATGAGGACAGCGGGTTCTGATTTCTGTCTCAGATGTATTTTTAAATGGATCATACATAAAGCTATTTTTGTTATGATTGTGGGGGGAGACCAAGCGAAACTGTGACAAGTCTAGGTGTGTTTTTTAAAGGGAATACCTGTG